AGCGCTTTTCAAAGCCCTGGAGGGCGCCCCGAGGGGTGACAGCCGCAGCCCGCGCCGGGCCGGTGCAGCAGAGGGCGGCCGGCATTTCACTCCCATGGACCATGGCAACCCCCGAAGCTCTGCCGCTCCCGGGAGGGAAGTGCAGCTGTCAGTCAGGATTGCGCAGCGGCTTCGTGGCGGAGAAGGGAGCCCAGCCCGGCTTCCTCCTCCTGCCGCGTGGAAGGGAAAAATCAGGAGGGGGACCCCTTTGCTGACCTTTATGCAAAGCACGGAGCAGGGGGAGGGACCTACAGGGGAAAGGCCCGAGATTCTGAACCTAGTAGATTGATCCGGGGCCCCTCCCCTCCATTCACCTTTGAAATCCCCCAAACCGCTATTTCCTAGTTTGCAACACCACCCTAGTTTGCAAGCTCCGAGGTCCAAGTGGTGGTGGCAACCCCTGCGATCCAGTATCCATATTCCTCCTCTGAAAGGCACACCTCCCCCCACCGCCGCCCATCTAAACACTTTTCAGCTCTAATAGGCAACCCGTGGAATAATCATAGATGCCATGGCATAGAGTGAGGCAAGGACCACTGCTATAGCGGGTACCGCTATAATCACTTCTGTTTAATTCTCTTCTGCTCTGCTCATTCTGCTAAACAGGTGTCTGCAGAGCTGGACCGGAAAAGAGGGTGGTGGGCAGATGAAATCTGAGCCTCAGAGCGTGAAGGAGTGGGTGACTACCCCCTGGACCAGCACCCCCAGACCTGCACACATCCCCCCAGACACATGCACCCCTGAATAACCATATTCCAGAGGCAGCCCAGGCCAGGCCAGGGGAAGGGGGGTTCTGAGGGTAAGAGAAGCAGGATGGGCCCCCACCAGCATGGGTCAGTGGTAGAATGTTGACTTATGAACCAGGAGGTCACAGTTCGAGTCCCATCAGGGCACAAGCCCAGGTTGCGGACTTGATCCCCAGTGTGGGGCGTGCAGAAGGCAGCCAAAGATTCTCTCTCATTATTGATGTTTCTCATTCTCCCTCTCCCTTCCTCTCTGAAATCAATAAAAATATATTAACAACAAAATATGTATATATATTTTGCCCTAACTGGTTTGGGTCAGTGGATAGAGCGTCGGCCTGCAGACTCAAGGGTCTCAGGTTCGATTCCGGTCAAGGACATGTACCTTGATTGGGGGCACATACCCAGTAGGGGATGTGCAGGAGGCAGCTGATCGGTGTTTCTCTTTCATCAATGTTTCTAACTCTCTATCCCTCTCCCTTCCTCTCTGTAAAAAATCAATTAAAATACACACACACACACACACACACACACACACACATATATATTAAAGCAAGGTGCCATTCAGTGTGCATAATATATAAAATGCTGGTGTGTTTTTTTAAATAAGCAAAGGAGAATATATATATATATTACGGCAGCGGTTGTGAACTGATAGTCCACTGTGAGGCCCGAAATGTTGGCAACCGCTGGTTTAAGGAAACCTTTGGAGCAGCAGTCACCAACTGGTGGTCCGCAGACCACTGGTGGTCCGTGAGGTCCAAAAGGTTGGCGATTGCTGTACTAGAGGCCCAGTGCATGTATTCGTGCACCAGTGGGGTCCCTCAGCCTGGCCTGCGCCCTCTTGCAAATCCGAAACCCGCAGTCTGACATCTCCCAAGGGATGTAGTAGTGCTCCAAGCGGCAGGCGGCCGGGGAGGAGCCCAAGCTGCACTGCTCCCGCTCATCCCAGCCTTGCTGCACCTGCATCTGCTCAGTAACACTGCCCAGGAGGCGGGTGCAGCTCTGCTGTCACAGCTGCACTCACAGGCTGTGAGCCCCACTTCTGGCACCCTTGGGTCAGCTGAGCTGCGCCCCTGCTGTGGGAGCACACTGACCACCAGGGGGCAACTCCTGCATTGAGCGCCTGCCCCCTGGTGGTCAGTGCATGTCATAGCGATTGGTCTACTCATTCGGTCGCTTAGGCTTTTATATATAGAGATGTATTTAATGGAAGTATTTATTTTAAGCCAAAATTAATGCTCTTTTCTTCTCTTGTCTTTCCTTATACGTACCTGACTTTGACCCTAAACAATCCATTTGCTGTGCCTGGAAGATGGGAGTGAAAGTGAAGCCAAGTTGTTACCCAAGAACAACAAAGAAAAAAAAGGAATTCGGGTTTTGACATTCAAAACAGGATCTTTGTAACAGCTTTATTGAGATGTGATTCACATACCCTATAATGTACCCATTAAAGTGTACAATTCAATGATTTAGGGTATGTTATGTTATTAATGTTTTTAAAATCCACTGAGCCAAACCGGTTTCGGCATAATTTGCCATTTTAACCTTTTTTAAGCATACATGAGTTGCTTTTCCAATGTTGTACAGCCCAAAACAGAATTTTGCAGAGAAAAAAATAGGCTTTGTATTCCAGCCTTGTCAAGAGAGAAAGGGTTATTAAAA